AATATTAATGATTAAATTATAAATGAAATATTTATATTTAAATGATTAATTACTAATATTTTAATTAAATTCTAGATTATTAATATTGAAAAAATCTAATAAAAATAAATAGTAATATAAATAATAAAGGGTGTTTTGATCTTTTTATTTTCTATTCGTTTCTTATTCTAAAATTATTGTTACCAACCAAACACTGTAATAAGTCATAATAACTATTTCTGTCTTATTTCATTCATAATACCAAATAAAGTAATAACTATTCTATTTTATTCCCACATAATAACTATTCTATTCCATTCCTACCTATTTCACTAACCAAACGTAATCTAACTATTATCTTCATCTTATAATAGGGTTATTTACCTATAAATAGGCTTTCCTTAATTCATTTATATACACACTTCAATAATATTTATTCTCTCCCCCTAAATTCTTTTTTTCCCTCTAAATACTTTATCTTATATTTCTTTTATAATTGTTCTTTTAGATTTATTTCATAACATTTATTACATATTTTTTTCTAATATTCTTTTTTAAAATTATGTTTCACAATACTTTTAAAATTATATTTTACAACAATTTCACCTATTTTGCCTCATTCTTTTTCTAATTAGTTAAAATGAATTAATTTTCAATATCATAATTTTTTTAAAAATATTTTAATATTTTATAATAATACCAAATCAGATATTAATCAAACTAAGAGCAAGTTTAAGTTGATTTAAATGCTTTCGTCGTGATTGATTATCAAAATCCCACTCCAACGCTGACAGCTGCTCTTTTTCGACTGGGTTCGACTTGGGGCAACCATTGACACCAACCCACGGATACAAGGCTCTCTCGCTCTCTTCAATTAGCTAATTCATTTGGGGAAAAGTGAAGGGACAAAGACAGCGCAATGAGTGGCGCAGTTTGGGCAGATATTGAGCGCTCCGAGAGGTAATTTCAGTGAGTAATTGATAATGTTTTTCCCCTTTTAATTAAGTTTTTTTTTTTCTTGTGTGTTATTGAAGAAATTGGTTTGGATGTTGTTATAGCCTCTTGGTTTGCTCCATGTATGAGGAGGCTGCATCATTAGCTTCCTCCGTGATAAGGCAAAGAGGCCCCAGTCTATCGATTGATGATGATTTTGAGTTGTATGAAGCGATGGAGGCCGCTGGTATGGTCTTGGTTCAGTCCTTGAAGCAACTCTCTAGGTGCCTCCCTTTTCTATCTCTTGGTTTGGTGGCAGGGAAAACGAAAAAGAAAGGCGTGATTTTTTTTTTCTTTTGGTTATAGCTGATTATGATGCTATGCAGGACATCCACCATTCTGAAAGAGCTCAAAACATTATTTGTTTCTGTTGAAGCAATCCCTGTTCAAGTTGTTCTTATTGGGTACTCTTTTCTCTCTTCTATTCATACAAAAAGCTTCTGATTTTCTGTGTTGGAACTGCTTGTTTGATCTTATGGCTTCATTTTCTAACCCGATGCTGAATCCAGCTTATTCGGTGGTCAAAATGTATAATTTTATCCCTTTCGCTCCCATCAGACTATTAGAAACTAACCCTCATCATTTTTGGTTTTGTAACAATTACTCACTCTTGAGTCTAAAACTTTGCTCCCTTCTTTCTTATGTTCTGAGGCAAGAGATGTGTCAATGGGGAATTGCCATATTTGTTTAGGTCTCACTTGTGAATGAAGTTGTACATTTTTCTCCCTTACTTGTGTTATATAAAGTCTACTTTTGAGTCATCTTTATTTTCAATTCTACCATAAACTCAAGAAAATTTAGCCTTGCGATAGGAATCCGAACCTCTCAGGCAGAGGTGCTAAATTTCCTTCCATTATGAAATTTTCAGGGCATGTTTCCAAACATCTGAAGGTTGTGCTTTTGGCGTCAGAGAATTTCTTGAGGAGTTTCTTAACAAGTGGAGTTATGTTGATGAACAATACTATGTCCTTGCTAGTGCAGAAAGAAATATGAATTTAAAGGAAGGATGTGATAGCCATTTTGTCTTGGGAATTGATAAGTATATTGAAATTGTTGAGCTGTATGCTGTCATGCTCCTTGGAACAGTTTCCAATGATGTAAATCTTGCAATCTCTTGGGTCGAGCAAGCTGCATTGCCTGAGCAAAAACGACAAGTAATATATGCTAAGTTGAATTTTCTTTATTATTCTTCCACTGTTTATTTAACTCATTTGCCTTTGTAGTACATAAATATGCTCATCTTTGTCAAGCTGTTTATGAATTAATTGCTATTTGAAATTCAGCATGATTCACATTGATGGTGGACCATGTTGACTAACTGGCTTACAAAGTTTTTAGTGTTAAATGGTGTTACTCTACATCAGTTAAATTTAGAGTTAGCTAATGG